TGGAGTTGTGAGTTGCAGTCTGGTTATCCTTTGCTTTACATCTAGTATCCACTTATGAGTGAGTATATACCATGTTTGTCTTTCTGAGTCTGGGTTACCTCACTCAGGATGATATTTTCTAGTTCCATCCATTTTCCTCAAACCTCACGATGGCGGGGTTGGGGGGGAAAGCGAGATTAGGGGAGTGGGAAGTCCCAGCTGGATCAGGAACAGAGTGGAAGAACAAGGAAAGAGACACCATGATAAATGAAGACCCCAATGGCAATAGGAAGAAGCAGAGTGCTAGAGAGGTCCCCAGAAATTCACAAAGATACCTCCACTATAGACTAGTGGCAATGGTTGAGAGAGTGCCTGAGCTGACCTACTCTGGTGATCGGATGGCCGAACACCCTAATTGTCATGATAGAACTCTCATTCAGTGACTGGTGGAAGCAGATGCAGAGATCCACAGCCAAACCCCAGGTGGAGCTCCAGGAGTCCAACCGGTGAGAGAGAGGAGGGATTATGTGCGCAAGAGATATCGAGACCATGATTGGAAAAAGCACAGGGACAAATAGCCAAATTAGCGGAAACACATGAACTGTGAACCAATAGCTGAGGAGCCCCTATGGAACTGGACCAGGCCCTCTGGATAAGTGAGACAGTTGATGAGATTGAACTGTTTAAGAGGCCCCCAGGCGGTGGGACTGGGACCTGTCCTTGGTTCATGAACTGGCTTTTTGGAACCTAGGGCCTATGCTGAGACACTTTGCTCAGCCTTGGTGCAGGGAGGAGGGGACGAGACCTGCCTCAACTGAACTACTTACTAGGCTGGACTGAATCCCTAGGGGAGAACTTGTCTTGGAGGAGGTGGGAATGGGGAGTGGATTGGGGAGAAGGCTGGGAGGTGGGAGGAGGGAGGACAGGGGAATCCATGGCTGATATGTAAAATTTAATAAAATAAAAAAAAAACACACTAAAAAACCCCCAGCAATCTATTCCTAAGCATTTACTAAAAAATATTAAAACATAGCTACCCACAGATTTATACACAAATGTTCATAGTGGTTTTATTTATTAAAGTCAAAAACTGGAATCATCCAAGTGCCTGTAAGTGAACATTTAAGACAAATGTTAGCCCATCTATACAACACCAGTTATGAAGTACTAACATTCCTATGCAGATGAATTTCAGTTATACTGATCATATAAAAAAATAAGACAGTATATTCCATATGACTTTTTTAATGCAAAATCCTAGAAAATGCAAGCTAATCATTAGCAAGGGAAAAATTTGTGGTTTGTAGAAAGAGGCGGCAGAAGAGGCATGATTATGAAGGGCCCAAGGGAACATTTGGGATAGCATGTTTTCATGTCTTGATTGTGATAATGGCAGTGAATTATATACATGCCAAATCTTAATATAGTACACTTTACTGTATATAAATTATAAGAGAAAAGGCCCACTGGAGTTTTCTCTCCTTGGTAAACGTCTTTCTGAGGGATCAACACCTCTGCCTCTCCACATGTTACTTCCAGATGACTCATTCCGGACTCGCAATACCAGTAATGTTCCAGCTTCCTTTCCTCCTAATCCTGTCTTGCCCAGTACTTCCCGTGGGACAGGTAACACAGCTGATCCAAAGAGCAGTGGAAGTAAAGACACACAGCCTCGGAAGGCTACCTTGTGAGTACCAACTTTCCACTGCTGAGTGTGCTGTTTGGTTCAGGGCACCTTCCTTCCCACTTCCACACTTCAAAGATCCGAAAATGTCTCTAGTGAGGGAATGTTTAAGATGAAAGTAGTTAAGTGAGAACCTTGACTATGTTAGTGTGTATAAGATATCTGATATTAACATATGGCAAAGACATCTTCACTAGGCATCTAAATACCTAACTCTAGTGCCTGATCACCTGGATTCAGAAAGGTAGCACAGCTGATGTCACTTTGCAGTGCCACAACAGCATGGGATGCAGAGTGTGGGCTCAGTAGCTGAACATATTTGTAGACAATACTTGTGCTTTGAAGTTAAAGTTATAAAAGGCCTGTTTTCTTTCCATGGTTCCTTTTTGTGTGCTATTTGCTTCTTGATTGAATTAGTTGCTTTTGAACATTTAAAAGAATGGTACCCTAAAAATCATCACAAGAACACTGCAAGGATGCCCAAACTGTAGTTGCAGTTTTGTTCTTTCATACAGAACAGCCCTTCAAGTCACAGTGAAACTTAGCAAGATTCAGATTTCCTCTTGAGACTGTGTCATTAAATTCATGGGCTTTCCCCTTCTCTTCCTTCTTCCCTTCTTTCTCCTTCCCTTCCTCCTTTCTTCTTTCCTTTCTTTCTGTTTTTGAGATGAGGCTCACAATGTAGCCCACTCTGGCCTAGAACTGGCAACCTCTTGCCACAGCCTCCCAAATACTGAGATTACAAGTATACTTCACTATGCTTAGCTCACAATTTTGAAAAAGTTTTTCACTTGCGTCTTTCTATAGAAACTCTTCTCTGGCTGACTGGAGTTCCTTTTAGGAGCTAGTTGTATTATAATTCATTTTAAATTCTGATTGGCCATTGGGTATGTACATTAGAAATATGTGTACCCCATTTCATTCATAATTCAAAAATAAAGATATTGAATGGAGCCCAGAATGTGGGACTAAATGCTCCAAAAATAATCATAGGAACAGGTGATTCAGATATTGCAGAATAGTGGTGCCAACTTGAAGGATGTTCTCTCTACAGAAAGCCCCAGTGCTGTTTAGGAGCCATGGAAGCAGAGGTAGCATGGGTTGGTAGTCTGCAGCACTCTGGACTAGAACCATGTACCCAACTCCAGCATGAGCAAAGTCACTGTGTATTGGTGAGCCTGGCCCTTGGGCTTCTGAACATCTGCCAAATAGCAGCAGGTCTGGCCCATAGCTCATTTAAGGGGCCTCTCAGTTCCATCTCCTGAGATCTTTCTCTCTCACTATAGACCCTCTTCTTCTACTGCCTTGAATTTCTCCTGAGGAACATGGTAGCATCATCATAACTAGTTTTGTTTTTTAAAGAAAAGACTGCTGAACCAATATTTCGTGGTCGCTTTCCTTTCTTCCAGATGCCTTATCTGTTTTTACATTGCTGAGTACATCTTTCCTTTTTGCAGACTGAATTCCCTATTTGTATAACTGATGGCTACCAAAATGAATCTACAATAAAGACCAATGAGAACTCATGTAGAGTTTGTACCTTTTTCAAGTGATCTGAAGGAAGGCTTGCTAGCATCCACAGCCACTTCTTCACACATGTCTGGCTGTGAAGCACCTGGCTGTTCCCACACATGGTTCTAACATGCTCATTAGCTGGATGGGTGATTGGTGTCTACACACGTGTTTTTCCAGTGAAGTATTATCCACAATTAAGAGACCGTCATATCAAAATTGAAAAGAAAAAAGTCCTCTTTATTTAAAATAAGCCTATGAAGTGATTGCAGAAAGTGTTACCTCAGTTTTTATTTCTTAGAGAAATTCTGCGCAGTGCACATGTTTTACCAAATGGCACCTCTGGTGTTGACAAGCAGTGTGTCATAAAGGAAGTATAGGTGTGTGGCAGAGCTTCTGTCTTCCAGGGTAGGACAGTTGATATACCTGTGTAATTTTCTTTATGGTTATGCAATTGAAGGGGATGCTATTAGGTGTGCACAGGATGGTCTTTGATACTTACAGGTAATTCCTTAATGTGTAATTCATTTCCTCTTTATCAGAGTTCTCATATTGTAGGTTTACTCAGAGTAGCATATTTATATTTCTTTATTTACTTTATGTAGATATTTGTTTTACATTGTCTTTTTGGTCCCTTTCTCCTTCCCTCCCTTCTCTCCTTCCTCTTTTTTTCTTCTTTCATCAGAAAATCTCGAAAATCCAATCCTTAAGTCAGCTGCTTGGTGAAGGAGGTGAGCAGTCAGCAGAGACTGTGATGGTGAGAAGGCTCCAGTGATGGCCGGGCATGTTAAAGAGTGGAGGGAGAGAGGAACATCATGCAGCTGATGGAAACTTACCTCATTTGGAATTAGATTCCCTAGGAGGTATGCCATGTTTTAGTGTGGGCTCTGAATCCCGTTGTTCCAGTGCAGTGTAGTGAGCTCCAACTTGAGGTGTGTACTCAGACTGCAAAACAGACATGCCTGGCTCTGTGGGAAGCTGGCTGTTGATTACCTAAATTGTACATTTAGAAATTCCATGGCAGTCTGAATTTGCTGACTGTTCCTTGGGTAGCTCCTTGGGCAAGGACACAGGAGGTAAGGAAGGCACTGTATTTCCTCAGAGCTCTCTAAGCTGAGCAGACAAGTCAAACCGAACACTGTGGTCCTATGGGTGCTGGGATTCTGTGACAGTGTCAGCACCTGGACGACCCCAGTCTAGATTCGGCCATGAAAATCTGCAAAGATTCTTGAAAAATTTAGCTACAAATACCTTAAAAATGATAGATTAATGATTTCCTTAATTTCTAGAATTTATTTTATAAATGCTTTGTTTACATTTTGGATTGTATCTGTCCTTAATTTCAAATGATGAATCTAGTTTGAATCAGCTGTTATTCCAAACTATCATGCTCATGCTACATCAACAGCACCCATTTGTACTAATGCTAATACTTCCATCAAATTTGCCTGTGGAACATAGATTGTCCTTAACTTTAAAATGTCGGCTCCTGAGATAGAATGTATGAAGCTATTGTCAGCTTCTCTATTTCAAGTGCAATCAGCATATACCTATATTGATATCAGAAAATACTTGTTTTTTAAAGATATATTGATGTATGATAAAGATGATCTAATTTGTGGATGCATACATGTGCGTGGTTACTTTTTATAATGTGAAATGGATAATGAGCTTGTTTAAAATAAAGCAGAGGTGAATGAGCTACCAGCACTTGTGAGAAAAGTTTTAAATACTTCCCTACAGTTCTTTCTCTATAAAGAAAAGGCCTTTCATCTTTAAATAATGGGCAAGTGGAGCATATTTGTGTCAACTGTAAAGGACTCAGGGACAGCGGCTACTGCTTCCTCCTTTTTGTCATTCCTTTCCTTCCCCGTGACCTCTGTAGGGCACTGTTGAGGGACTCCTAACACCCTTCATCAAGGACAGGCAGGGAGAAGTGAGAGTCTAGTAGCCATGAGAAGCTAGACCGTCCTGCATAAGGAAATGCACTTGAACTAGTTTATGTCTCCTACTAGCGTTAGTAATATGGAATTGAATCTGTTGTGGTCTGGGGCCATCAAGGCTGCATCAGGTTTTTCAGTACTCTGGTTCAAAAGGTCGGCATTGACTCTGTCTACTTTAAAGAAAATGGAGAGTTTCAATTTGATTGTTAAATAATACACTTAGTAGTTATAAGCTTTTTATATTCCTGTTATTTATGTGGGATAAGGGGAAAGTGATCTGACAGAGAATAGTCACCACTGCTTATAAAGTTGGAAGTCAATTGCTTAGGCATTAAATTCTCAATTAAAACAGTTATTCAAAATTACTTTTGGAAGTATTTTTTTCACAAGCATTAAAAACTTTAAAAATTTTTGAATCTTTGTTAAAATTATACCCCAGAGACAAAGATGCCGGAAGATTAAAAAGCCAATGGGTGGCAGATAGGAACATCCACTCAGATCTTCTTATCAGAAGACCTGATCTTCTTTAACTGGGTGCGTTGACAGTGCTCTGCTCCATCTGCAGTGCTGGCCTGCCTGTCACTGGCTTTGGCCCTGTTCATTTCAGTGTGGTATAGCCATAGGCTTCCTTTTCTAGATTTCATCTCTCAAAGTGAGAAAAGAGCCAGAGCCCTCTTAAAATTCCTCTTTCTGGTCCCAAGTTCAATTCCCAGCATCCACATGGTGGCTCACAACCACCTATAAATGTAGTCCTATGGGACCCCAAACCCTCTTCTTGTGTGCAGATGTACATGTAAACAAAACATTCGTATACATAAAATAAATCTTTAAAAAAATTAAATTTCTCTTCCTACTATTTCCCCACAAACACACCTGAATAACTGAACACAAGTACCTACAAATGCCAGTTAGAGCCGTCTTCTCTCTTGTCTATCTTCGTAGGCCCCAGAATTTTCTGGTCCTAAATGAACATCTGTTAATGCATGGGATGACTACAAGAGTGAGTTCATGTTGAGACTGTGGTGAGGGAGTCTGATTTAGACTGCCTCTTGACACTACCTCCTGTTCATGTCACTCATGACTTCCAGTCATTAAGTAACTAATGAATAAACTCTAGTTGTGTTTATCTAGTAGATAGCACATAGAAATGCAACTAAGCATTTAGTCAGCACAGCTGACATTTTGAGACTAGTTAGCCCCACTCAGGAATCTCTGCTTTACTCCCTAAGTACTATCTTATTTCATTTCTATAAGATAGAAAATGACTGCCCAGGAATAGAGGTGTTTTCATTTTCCTTGCATACTGGGACAAAGTCCATGCTTACTTTTGTTTAAACACAGTGGGTGACCGAGGCAAAGGCCGCCCACTACTAGCAGTCTCTGAGAGACTGTAGAGAGGGGAGATGGAGTAACAAGGACTTGAGACTAGAATAGGAAGGATTGGCTTACCATTGTCACACTGAGTGGCCTTGGGCAAGTGTTTTCCTCTCACTGAGATATAAGGTTTGATATATTCATCATGTGCAGTGGACGCTAGAGTCAAGGCCCTGCACACGATAAAGGCTCACCAAGATGTTTCCTTAATCAGCAATGAGGATTACATAGACTTTTTGTTGGTAAAAATGAATATAATTGAGACTGTATTCATCACTATACCAAAGCAATTATAAAAGGTCATTGTTAGTATATGTATTTATGTGTACATATATAAACTCTTATGAAGAAAGGAGTGTGCAGAGGGAAAAATACCTGTCACTCCTGAAAGTCAGGATGTGTCCCTGTTTCTGGTCCCTGTTTGTTTTCCTTATAAAATGAAAACATTGAACTGGATTATCTGTGGTTCCTGTGATGGAGGCATGTGACTAGATGTGTCATGGAGATGAGTGGGTGTTGTTGAGCTGGACATTGTGATTAGGATGGATATGGTGATTTCCTGCTAATTTTAATAAAAAAGAATTCTATGATTAATTAAAACATTACAACACAAAAAACACTGAGCGTGATGGCACACACCTTTAATTCTAGCACTCAGGAGGCAGAGGTAGTTGCAGGCCAGCCAGATTTATGTTGTGGGCCCCTCTGGGATGGGGAGGGGGGAGGGGAGAGAGAGGGAAAGAGAGAGAGAGAGACAGAGACACAGAGAGAAGCACAGAGACAGAGGAGAGAGAGACAGAAAGAGAAATTCTGGGATAAACTAACACTGATTTTGCATGAGAGAGAAATAGAGAGGGAGAAGCATGCCTATAGGAGAAGGTCCATGTACTCCCCAGAGACTTTGTCCTACACCAGCTGTCCTTCCTACTGCTCTCAAAGTCCAGGTATATGAGCTGCAGAGAAAGGCTCTCTCAACTAGTCTCCAGTCAGTCAGCAAAGGCTCTCAGGAGCAAGTTTAAAATGCCAGACAGATTGCACAGACGTCTCCTTAAAATATGAGTCATTTTAATTTCTGTGTTAATCAGAGAACAGCCACAACAAACTGGCTGGGTACAGAGGACAGAGGACACATCCTTTACCATTGACCACCAGCACTCTGGCTCAGCACTGACTGTGACTGGGCTTACACATGCCTGAGTCACAGGACAGTGGGGTTCACCACCCTGCCCAGAAACAGAAGCACCCTGGACATCTCCTCATAGATCATGAAATGAAAAGGTCGGTCCACTTTAATGACAGGAGGCATGGAGTAAGCGACAATCTCTGACAGTGTCCCTGCCACTGCTTCAGTTCCTCTTTCATCCACCTCAAGCACTGATTGTTGTAAGACCTAGAAGAAAAGGAAAGGATGTGGAAGAACATTTGTGTGGCAATGGGAAGAGGGAATTGACAGAAATTTTCTACAGTGATTCTGCCCACCCAGCCATGTTCCTGGGGTTCAGTGTTGCAGCCTATCTTTGCTAAGAGGTGCATGAGATTGCACCAGAGACTGCCTCATAAATCAAAACAATACCCAGAGTCTATGGGAATTGGTGTGGGGTGTGTGAGATGCATTCTGGGCTTGGAACCAGGGAAGCTGGCTGGTAAATTTCTACATGTGGGGCATCTAGTGTGTATTCATTGAACATGTACTTTGTGATGCTCATTGTTGAGCTGAGCTGCTGGCCCTTGAAGGCACTTTGAACTGCCAGATACTGCTCTGAGGCATTTCCTGGGGGCAAGCCTGAGGGTTTGTGGTGTCTTCCTGGACCCTGATTGCCTATGCTCAGGCTGAGGTTACCACTTTAAATCTCTCAGAATTGACAATTGCATGGACAAATCTGAATCAAACTCTTGATTGTGATGGTGAGGGAGAGAGTCGTAATGAGCACAGACCAGGAATGCTAACTAGTTCACTGTAGTGCACAGAACTGCTGAAAGAACCAAGATTACTTCCCATGAGAAACACTAATTAGCTAAAGAGATTTGGTGTGAGCTAGCAATAAAACTAACACTTTCCTTGCCAGCCAAAAGGATATCAAAGGACTCAGCATGTCCAGGCACCTCAAAATACCTTCCAGAGGTACCAGCGTGGCCCCAACACCAGTAGCATGAAGTATATGCTTACTGTTACCAAAGTTGAATAAACTTGTTCTCAGTACTTCAGAAGCAGGACCAAAAAAATGTGAGTCAGAGAACTTACCAGTCAACATATTACAAAATAATCATCCATTTGCGTATTGGGCTGCTTTCCAAAGAAGGGATGAGTTCCTTGTCTGAAGAATGGGAAGGAGGGGGGAAAGATGAGGAGAGGAAGAACAAGAGGGTCTTCTGAGGCTAATTATAGAGGAAGGTGGAATATCCATCACAAGGCATGGGAGGTTGGGCCAGGTGATGACTAAGGATTTCTTTCATGCTAAAGGCGATATAATTTCATGATCCTTTTCAATATTCATCATAGGTGCTGATGGGTTATATGCCAGTGTGTATGAGGGGCAGATGCCTCCCTAGGCCTTGGGAGAGAAGAGAGATGGAGCTCTTCAATGAGTACCTAGTTAAAAAAGGTGTTTGAGTAGTATGGCTTGAGGTCCTTTGAACACCCACCTTGGATGCTACTTCAAGTTGTTAGAACTGGAGTCAAATTCCCTACTACAACTAGACATTTAATTACAATGACATGGTTTTCGAAGTATTTGTTGGTTTCAGTGGCACTGCATGCTGAGGACAGCACCTTAGCACAGCCCCTGACTTGCCTTGGACACCTGAAGATCTCTTGCCACGGCTGAGAGTTCGCTGAGGTCAGCTGAGCTGGAGAAGACTTTCCTGATTCCCATCTGCTGGAGCAGCTTATGCATCTCATACCTCTGGTCCAGCTTGAACTTGGGAAAGAAAACTTCCATTTTCCTGTGACACAAGGACAGATGATGGTGAAATGGCTGGAGGCTGCTGACAAGGACACCCTTCCTTCCTCCAAGAGTATTTCCTTCGCTTGACTGTATATAGTTCATGTGATCCTTTTGTAGCGTTCTATCAGAGAAAATACTTCTGGCTTATGAAGCATCACTGTATCTACCCCAGTGAGCTAGTTCTTAGCTCACTACCCCAAATCCTTTTTAGCAAAGAATGCCAGACTCCATGCCGTTTTTCTTATGTTTAAAAAACAACCCTAACCAACTCCCTAGCTGCTTCCTGTATCGTTGCAGACCGCTGGACGATGCTGTTCCCAGCCCAGAAACCCAGACCTCAGTATTCCTCGAAAACTTGGGAATGGGCAGACAAAGAAGCAAAGAGGGCTTTCATCTAGCCCTGCCATCTTAGCCTGGGAGGCTCTGAGGTTATTTATTTTCCCTACTGTGAGTTCTCTGAAATCATGAGATTTGGAAAGGTAAGTTTTGTGGCTCAGAAAAAAACAACAATATAAAAGCTACTAATTACATCAAATTAATCTTAATTTTCAGTTTTCTTGCTCCATAAAGAGCAGTCAAAAGTACATATACCAATATCAGAGTTGTTGCAAAGAATGATTGACATATGCAAGGTGTCCAGAACAATGTCTGGCATACAGCAGCTATTTCGTAAACACACTCTTCCTCCACTTCTCTCCTTGTTGCACAGCTGGACCAAGGCTCCAGGCTGGAAGTAACTGAGGATGTGACACTTCCTAAGTGTTAATTCATAAATATAGTCAGTCAGCAAACTTTGTTAGGGTTTCTGTTTCAGTCCTTTGCTAGTGCCTAAAGATGGAAAGAAAAATGAAAGTGAAACCTGTAGCCAAGGACCTTGGATTGAGCTCCTATCTGTACCAGTTCTGGAGTGGCAGGACTTGAAAGGCACACCATGAGATTCTTACTGGAGCTGTCTGCCTTGTGTTCCAGCAGGTGGACTGACTTCCAACAAACACCAAGTGTCTACCCTGCCTTTCCATCTCTTCTCCACACAGAGTCCCCTCCATGTTACCTGCTCTCATGGTCCTAATCCCAGCCAGGCATTTGTCACTCTTAGAGTCAGACTCTGGCCTAGCCCTGGCCTGGCCTCCTTCATGTAGGGCTCAGGGAGACATTTCTAGTCCAGATGTTAGGACTGAGCTATAAACTCACTACCAGACTCATTCCTTTCACAGTCTTAGTAAGTGGTGTACCCATCCTTGAGATGCCGAAGCCAAGAACTACAGCTACTGTTGACTGACTGATATCCCCCAGGATCCACATCTCTGTTTTCTTTCTTTTTCTCCCCACCCATTGCTTATCTAGTCATCAGTGTCATCAGTTGTTGCTTACTGACACATCCAGAGTCTAGTCTCCCTCTATCACTCCACCGGCTCCTACCATAGCCTAAGCAGTGGCATCTTGAAGTTACACAGCATCTTCTGACTGGCTTCCTCATGGTCCTCCTCATCCTTAGTGCCTGCTCCCAGCACAGGCTCCTGTGTGATCCTTTCATCAGATCTCCTCAAGCCTCTGTTCAGAACCCTCTGTGGCTCCCCATCTTCTGCAGGCAAAGCGCAGGACTTCTGTGCTTGTGATGTGAGGTCCTGAGGTGGCCATCCCTGAATCCTCTCACCTCTTCTCCAATGGCTGCAGCTACATAGGCAGACTCACGAAATTTGCCCCTCAACACCAGATGAGAACATCCCTGGCTTTGACCTGCACCTGCTGATGTGCTCTGTCCTCTTATAGTGTTGTTTCTCTCCCTCTGCCCGGCTTCTTAACTGATGCAACCATGGCATCAGTAGGTACCTCAACAGGCAAACTGTTGTATTTGCTGAGTTAATGAGCAATAAAGCCAGGCCTACATTGGATTGATGTTGAGGATAGAGTGGAAAATAGAACATATGTTGCTTCCACCTGCAGGAGCTTGGTGCTCACTGGGGAGCATGAGCAGCAAGCCACAGGGCATTGGGTAAAACTATTGGGAGTGGTCATGAGGATGGCAGGCCAAGTCTGCGAGGCAGGGGAAGCATCATACCTGGTCTTCATATTCTGGAGCCATGTCTCCACGAGATCTGTGGTCAGGTAGTCCTCCAGGGCCAAGTGGTCACCTGTTTTCTCCATGAGCACCACTAGCATGGTGGCATTTCCTTGGTAGGGCAGCTTGAGGATGTGACAACGGAACTTGTTATCGAAGGTGGAGGCAAAGTTACCTTCCCGGTACATCATGGGCACCATAACTGCCTTGTATTTGTCCAGGTGGAAAGTGTCAGCCTCGGTGAAGACAGGGTCAAATGGAGTCAGCCACTTCCCTGAACAAGTCAGAAGAGAGCCCCTATAGAAGCAAGCCTTCACAGAACACGTTGGTCTTACTCAAGTGGTAGAGGAGAGAGCAACCTACTACCCCCTTTACTCCGAACATGAGTGCTGTTCCTTTTTAACATTTGCTTGGACCACAGCCCAGGCAGCAAATTCCCCAAAGACCAAACTTCAGATCTACCCATGTCCCACAATGGAACCACACACAAAAGCAAAGACATCCCCTCCTCTCATTTGTTCCACTTGTTCTGGACCTGAACAAAACTTCATTTCCTGGTGGATGGCTTCCAATGCCTGTCTGCATGAGGGACTCCTAGCTACCATGGCCCCAGCATGCCCTTATGCAAACATATACTTTACAGGTAGTGGGGGTGTTTCCAGCTCAGCATTGCTTCACGTGGTTCTGGGAGCAGACGAGACCACGATGTGACTCTACACTAAGTATCTGTTTTGGGGTGCTGGCACATGGCCCTTCTTTTTGGGGTGCTGGCACATGGTTTTGTGAGTCTCCTGGTACAGCTTTAAGTACCAGAGGCACCTGCACCATACCCTGTGCCCTGTTGGAGCTGGAAGAAATCAGGGTTATGAGGTCATGGGATCCCTCTTCACATTTAGCCTCTGCCATTCGTGTGTGATCCTGATCAACCTAGTTTCCCCAACCTTCACCTTCATCCCCTTAAGAAAGGAGACAGTGGCCCTACTCTGCTTGCTACATTGCCAGGAAGAACAAAGATGCAGTCTGTTCCTGTCCCATGGTGGGTAGTAAGTGCCAAGGACAGTGTTCAGTACCTTGCATATATCAGCTCTTGTGGCTTTATATCTATAGCAAGTTAGAGTCCCAATTTTTATATAAAAAACATCCAAGACCAAGGGACTAGAGAGGTGGCTAAGCAGTTAAGAGCATATACTGCTTGTACAAAGGACTCATGTTTGGTTCCTAGCACCCATATTGGGTGGCTCACAACTGCCTGTAACTCCAACTCCAGGAGGATCCAACACCTCTGACCTCTGGGTGTACCTGCACACATATGCACTCTCACTCTCACTCTCTCTCTCTCTCTCTCTCTCTCTCTCTCTCTCTCTCTCTCTCTCTCTCTCTCTCTCTCTGTCTCTCTCTCTCTCTCTCACACACACACACACACACACACACACACTATAATAATGACAACAACAAATCCAAGGGTAGAGATTTTGCCCCAGATCACAAAAACAGAGAATGGGAGTAGAGATGCAACCCAAGCCTTGCTGATAGTGAACTGCTCATTCAACAGCCCGGTGCTACCTCTTCCAAACATTAGAAGAAAACCAGGCAGAGGAGCTGTGGAAACTGAGGACCACATGTCTGCAAGTGGTGAGAAGGGGGCCTCAGGACCACAGGTCTGCAGTTGTGAGAGTGGGGGCCTCAGAGAAAGCATCAGTCCCTCCTCAATGTATGCTGCACCTACAAAGCAGAGCCCATGCTTGCCGAGCATCCTTTAGCTCTAACTACACTGACCAGAAGAAGGGAAGGGAAAGAGGGTCAGGTTTTTGTAGCTTTGCAGCAACAGAACACTATCAATACCTTTGAACAAGATGTAGTCCACCAGAATTAACTTTGTTTCAGGATTAATTTCATCAAAGAGCTTGGGAATTTTTCCCCGTGTCTCTTTGTTAATGTAGTGGTTCACAAGTCCTTTGGCCTGTGAGGAATTTCGAAAATTTGTAGGCACGTACTCTGTATCAAAGTACTTCTTGGATAGATTGAAGTATGTCTCTTTGATATCAAAGTCCTTGTGGATGAAGGCAAGGCTACCTAGGATGAGGTCCAGATCCTGGTTGCTGGAGAGGGTCTCTCTGAGCCTCTTGAAGAGGGATGGGAGGATCAGGGGTCCTGCTTGGCTCAGAGCCTGTAGATGGAGCCCATTCTCCACCTGGACTTTGGTCTCTCCCTTGGCTCCCAGCATCAAGCAGACCATGGCCACTGACAGGCCAAATGGTGAAAAGATCACATTGCCATCGTGCCTCATGGAGATCTTTCGAAGCAGGCTGAACCCAAAGTTTGAAGTCTCATTGGAGAGCTGTTGCAGGCTAGTCCTCAGCCAATATTCTTCCTCTTCTTCATCACTGGGGACAGTCCATGTGTTCTCTTCCCAAGTCTGGTTCTGAAGATCCTGAGACTCCAACTCTGCTTGGGCCTCTGGTGAATGGGAGCTGAAGTTCAAACTGGTTACCAGCCACACCTCTGCCAGGAGGACAGGAAGCAAGAGGCTAAAAACCACCCTCATGTGCTCAGCTGTGGAGGCCAGGGGCCACTTCCCTTCATCCTGGGAGAGAGAGTCGGGGGGAGGATATCTCAATATCTAATAAAACATCTTTGCTAGGTGTGGACTTCCCTGGGTTCCTGCAGGTTAGTTATACACTAGACTGACCTGGAGCAGATAGATGTGTGGAGGGTTACCACCTGTTTTTTGTTTTGTTTCGTTTTGTTTTTTTACAGTCTTCTTCCATGTCCTGTCCTCTGCCAGGTCCTTGAGCATCTTGTGGTCCCTCCCCAGTTTCTGCTCACTGACTTTCCTCCAACAGGGCCAGGTATGGCTCTTTTCTATGGAGTGGACCTCAGAGAAAGATCAGTGGGAGTTGGGGCCATTGACTGATCTGCTTCAGGCTTTGCCTTTATCATTTGGCCACAAGACCTATCAAACAGCCCTCCATGCTAGCCCCAGGACCTTGATGTGTGACACCTTTGGGGATTTGGAGTGTCCAAGAGGGAATCTGACAAAGGGAAGGCTTCCCCACACAGAGTTTTCTGATTTAGGCCCCTCCTCTCCTGCACTTCCTGTACCCAGTTCCCAGTAGGTCTCCTTCCTCTACCCACAGCTCTAGGATGGCTGCAGGAAACGTAGCTGATTCTTTTTTACACAAGACCTGGGCTCAGCCCACTCAGTCTCATTGATCCTGAAGGCACACACTGGCTACCCATGCCCCAGTTCTACAGCCCAGTGGAACCTAACCCTGCCTTGGCAGTAGCTTTCTAGTACCACACTCCTCCCTCTGACTGTCACCACAGTCCTTCTGACTGTCAGTTGCTACCTCTCTGAAATTCCTCTTCACCCTCAAACCCAAAATGTGGCTCTGGGGCTGTGCCATTCATTATACTGTGGTCAGCTATATTACCCAGTGTCCTAGAGACTGATGTATATGTCACCAAGATGTCCCCAATAGCTCACTCTCTCGTGGCCCACAAGAAGGCCTGGATGGCAGTGGGTTTGGGGGATGCTTGACAGTTCCCATCAGTAAAGCCCCTTACTCTGATCATGGGACCCGAAGTCAAAATGTGACAAGTTTCTGAGCTACTCCTGGTCCGTCTTCTGTACGTGTCACAAACCACATCCAGCTCCAGTACACAAGCCCTTGTCACCTGCTTTGCTAAATGCCCCTACAGAGTCCAACGCTACAACTTTCTAGCCTGAATGACCCTGCTGGGTTTCCCAGATGTCACTATTTAGGATTTGCTTCCCAGTCCCAAGGACAAGACTGCATTTCATAGGTCATCGCATTGCTGTAAGCATTGGGTCATTACCTCCTTCCAGGTACAAAATATCCCCAGTCTCATGCCTTCATTTTTGAGATGGACACCATACCTCTGTTCCTTCACAACTCAGAACTGAAGCCTTACCCTCTAAGGTGAGGGTATGGCGAGATGGGGCCTTCCAGAGGCGACTAGATGAGGTCTTAAGCATAGTGATGGTGATAGATTTAGTGTCCTTAGAAGAAAAGACACCACAGTCTCCCTCTCTCCACCAAGGACAGCCATCTGCAAACCAGGAAGTGGGCCCTCACCACACCCCAACCATGCTGCCCCTCACTTTGAGCCTTTAGAACTATGAAAACTCATTTGTTAAGCCTCCAGAATTTGTTATTTTGTTATTTTGCTCCAACAGCCTGAGATGCCCAGGAGAATTATATCACTGTGTTTAGCTCAACTTTGTAAATTTAAACCCCTCAGAGTAGTCCTGATTTCATAGTTGCTTCTGATAGTCTCAGCCATCAGGAAAATCCCCAGTGCACTCTAATATCCTTTCTTAGGACTAAGTCTCACACTATTCCCGAAGTGGCCCTATAATGCCTGGCTGTTGCTACACCTACTTCCGAAACAGTGTAACTTGTCCTTACAGGCTTTCGTTCATCACGGGAGCCATCCACAATATATACAGGGTGCTTGATCCTGGGATGGTGCTCCTAGGACTAGGGCACCATCAGGTATGCTGAGGACACACCTTGTCACACGGAGCCTGAACAGTAGGAAAAGGGATGTTTACCTAACACTCAGCTCTGAGCAATGTGTGGGGAGCAGTGCCCCACTTGCCACTCCCCAGCCCTGGTGGGACCAGGCTCACATGCCTGGGCAGTGAGCTGTGGCAAACAAATACCAAGTCTTCAGAGCCATTTCCTTGGCTATCTGTCTATAGCTGACATGCCTTCAATGCCACCCTGAGCTCAACTTGGATTTACAGTCATTTGGAGTTTTAATCTGGAATCCCCTATGCCTGCCTGCCCCCTAGATCTCACCTTGAAGCCCACTAAGACAGAGTGAAAGCAGCTCTTCTCCCCACCCTTCGCTATTAGACACTCTGGAGGGCCCCCGCCATCCACCACCTCTTACCAGTTCCAGACCTCTGGTGCTGAGATCATTCAGAGCAAAGAGACAAGCATAAGCTTTGCAACCCAAAGCCTTCTGCAAATATTTGTTATTCCAAAGTGTGGTCCCCTTAGGACTGTTACTGATTAACACCCTGCTGGCATATGGTTGAGTTTCTGGAAATTCCCTAGGTTGGTCCTGTGGCCCCAACTATGACCAGAATTCACAAGAGGCTCACCCTTGAGGGATGGGGAATGAAGGTTCTAGAAAGAAGGTTATGGTGGGCCTCATGGCTGCTTCTGGGAACCATAAAGGGGTTTGGGTGGAACTTAAGAACTATTGTCTTGTCCCCAAGGAACTGTCAGTCCAGTGGTGGAGACCAGCTTCCTACTGGGTCACCTCTTACAATACAAAGCCTGTTGCAAGGTCACTGTACTACTTTGTGTTGAGACTGACCCTCTCAAGGAAGAACTGAGTCAGAGCTGGAAGTTACTCTTTAAGACACAACTTTTCAGACTTAGCAGGTTGCCATGTGTAAGCTTTGTTATGTGTCCCTTCCTATTCTTGAGGTGAGACTTAATGTAGCCTAACCCAAAGAATAGGGGGAAAAAGTAATAGGGGCTGGGTTGTAGCTTAATTGGTTGAGTATTCCCTGGGTTTGGTCCCCAGCAGTTCATAAAACAAGGCATGGCGGTGCACACCTGTAATGCCAGCACTAGGGAGGTGGGAGCAGGAGGATCAGAAGTTCAAGGTCATCCTTGGCCATATGGCAAGTTTGAGGCCAGCCTGGCTACATGAGACCCTATCTGAAAAAATAAAAGAATTTCTCAAAAAATCGATAAACAATAATGCTCCAACTATAATAGGAAGGCAAAAGAAAACTCCATGTCTTTAAATACAGTGATATTCCAGAAAATCTACCCTGGTAGATGTGGCCACCTGCTCATTTCATGATGGAGGCCAGTCATTGGAAAGGAAGATGGCCATTGGGGAAGAACTCCATTAAGCAGTGGACTAGCTGACTGGAAGTTGGTGACCTGTCATCTTGAAGAGCCATCTTGCCAGAAAGCAGACTAAGCTCTTTTTATACAGAAGGCGTGTGATCGCCAGCTGGCAGGTGCCTCCTCATAGGTAAAGATGGCTAGATGACACATCTCATGTGAACCAAGTATTCCCAAGGTGTTTTTCAGTTCTTCAAATATCAAGAAAGACATTGGTTAGTATATTTTGTCAAAGACTGCTATTGCCTTGTTATTGGTTAGTGTGAGGGAGGCAGCTCTCTAGAGAAGCACGACACTGCAGTACCTGGACTAGAACTCTGTCAGGTGAGTGGTCTCTGTCCATTCTATCTGACTCATTTTGAAAGAACAGACCAGCATCACCCTACAGGATGAATAAGAGCCATTTTTCACAATCCAATTTAAAGACATTTTTCTAAAGCAAATAGTAAGTCCAGTAGCGTTTGTTACTGTGTCAAACTGAAGTGCTGGCCGTGGCTTGTGGAATAGCAACCAACCCCTGATCCTACCTTTGGGGTATGAAAACATTCCCACTTATTCTCATTTTCACTCTCGCCTACACCATCCTCTGAAGAATATTTATCACAGATCTTTGGAGAAGCATGAAAATCAATTTTCTGAGATATTGCGGACCCCCTGTTTTGACCACAGAGCTTTGTCTATTTTCTGGATCAGATATGGAATCAACCAAAGAACAATAAAGATGAGATCTGGAAGATTCCTCTGGAACAACCTGGATGAGGTGGACAGAGGTGGGCAGATCCAAGATCACATTGACATGAAGTGGGATTTTGTGGTCTTACTGACAGAAGCGTGACCCTGGGTGGTATCAAGTCCAAATGCATCCCATCACTGGGACTAAATGGGGGCCTGCTTGGTTAGCTAGTGTGAGTGACTTCACTGCATTGGAATGATGTCTTAAACTAAGATCTGAGTCAGGCTCATTTTTGGTACCAGGGTCCTGTTGAAGCATTCCACATGCCGTGCTAATGGTTCTTCTGTCTACAGGCGCCTGGGGAACTAGCTAGGATCATGCTGGGGCAATCATGGTGACTGCAACTCAGGATGGATGCAGGCTTGCCACACTGAGTTCATATAAAGATTGTAGATGGCCTCATCTTTGTAGGGTGCACAGTTACTTGCTTCATTCCTCTACACCCTTTACATGTTGCGTATGTCCCATGTCACATTTTCCATATATTTTTGATATAGGTAAATATAAGTATATTTATTTATTAACACTATTAAAAGAGATCCGTAGCATGAATCTTAAAGAGTCTTATTAATAAAATCAAACCTGGAGCCAGGTATTGGGGTGAACTGGAAGATCAGAGAAGCAGAACAAGCCACAGCTATCTCACCTCACCAGTTCCTCAGCTGATCCTGTTTCCTCAGACTGGAAGCCTCTGAGTCCTCATCCAGAATGAAGCTCAGCTGAACTGCTGCTCAAAAGCCTGAAAGCTTAACCAGCCAAATGCTTCTAGTTTCTGGTCCTCACGTGTTATATATCTTTCTGCTTTCTGCCATCACTCCCTGGGATTAAAGGCTCACTTTCTGGGATTAAAGGTGTGAGTCACCATGCCTGGCTGTTTCCAGTGTGACCTTGAACTCACAGAAATCCAGAGGGATTTCTGCCTCTGGAATGCTAGGATTAAAGACATGTACTATCACAGCCAATCCTCTATGTTTAATATTGTGGCTGTTTTCTTCTCTGACCCCAGATAAGTTTATTAGTGTGCACAATATTTTGGGGGACACAATACTACCACAGAGATCCATGGATTCTTAAGTACACTCAATACTTCCCAACTCAGGGCTGTTTTTTATTATTATTATGCTTGCATTTATGTGTGTCTCTAAGGATGCGTTTATGCCTTCAACTCATATCTAGCCCCACAGAACTGTTCCTTGTTCTCCTCTCCCTTCCTTCCCTTAGTCTGCCCTTCCCTCCCTTCCCTATTCTGTCCCCCTTTGTCTCTCTCCTCTGTGTCTGTGTCTTTGTCTCCTCTGTCTTTTTCTGTCTCCTCCATCTCTGTTTCTCTCTTGCTGGGGATTGAATGTCGGTCCTCACACATCCTAGGCAAGCATCCTCCCTCTGAGCTGCATCCCCAGCACTCTTCCTTGCTTTCCTGGTCCATATTTGCATTCCCCTTCCTTACTCTGTCCCACAAGACATATACATAATATTCACAATGGCATATGCTTACCCTACTCCGAAAGCAAATCTGTAAAGAAAACTTGGAGATTTGCTGGCAGTGTTTCCTCCTTTGAAGCGGGAGCATATGGTCCAAGCACCATGTTCAGAAGATCCTTGGCTCAATTCTTTCTCTCCCCTTCTGTGTGGTTATCTGAAATGTGCTTGTCCTCGTTTCTTTGAATTTTCATGTGGCTTTGAGACTTTTACCATCTTAATTGCATCGTTGAGTCTGTAAGATGTTAATGTTATTCCCAAAGTCTAAGCCATGCAAAAAGGTACAGGAAGAAGTGCACCGTCCCAACCATCCCACCCACTTTCATCTAACCCTCCCCCAGGCTCTCGTGCATCATTTAACCACTTTCTTTCCAGTTCCCTTTCTTGTATTTCTTTATATAAGGATAAACATATGTGTTTGTACTTCCTTAATTCTTCTTTATGAAATCGTGATGCTCATAAGGATTGTTACTTTTTTATTTGACTTCACAGTATTCTAGTGTTTACTCAACGAATTTCCTATGTTTAGGCTTTTATGTAATTTCTAATGTTTTGCAAATTACAAAATATTTTAGGGAGATTATTTTTAAAACTGCCAGATGTGTGTCATTCGTTTAAATTCCTCAAAGTCAGCCTTCTGTAAAAAGGGTAAATGCTTAAAATCATACGTTTTGTTTTGTTTTTTAGAATAAAGTTGGAATTGACTAAGAAGAGGTTTTAATGTAGATTTAAGCATGAACATTAAATGGGAGAGAAGTGTAAGAGAAAGACAGTACATGCCTTGGGGTTGGGGCATGCACGAACACACACACACACACACACACACACACACACACACACACATGCACACACACACACAAAACACACACACACACATACACACACACACACACACACACACACACACACACACACACACACACACACACACACTGACCACTTGGGATTAGATAACCTATCAGGGAGTTTTATAAGAGCGTGTATATATGTATGTGTGTGTGTGTGTGTGTGTGTGTGTGTGTGTGTGTGTGTGTGTGTGTGTATGCATTTGAGAGTTCTTGCAGATGGCCTAGATTTGGTTCCAAGCACCCACATGGTAGCTCACAGCCATCTGTTAACTCTAGTTCCAGGAAATCTAACACCCTCTTCTGACCTCCATGGGCACCAAGCATGAATATGGTACACATACAGACAGACAACACTTATACACAAAAAATAAATAAACCTTTAAAAAAAGAATGTTTCATTAAATGAGTGGATAAGGAGGTTTGTGATAGTGATGCCCCCAAATATAGCATGAGAGCTAACTGAGAACATGTAAATGTGACAGAGTTGGGTCAACTAGTCTTTGTTGCTGTAATTAAGTTGATGATGGAAGGAAGAGACTGCTGGATTGAAGAGGGCCCTGGCTCGGATGATGAAAGTTCTCATAAGAGAAAGGCAGAGGGGGGCGTAAGGCAGAGAACCATCAGGGGGAAAGGCCACATGAAGATGGATGTAGAATCTGGAGTTGTATCTATAGTCAAGGAACGCAGAGGGCTGCTGACACCCACCAAGACAAGAGTGAGACATGGAGTGGACAAACCTTGACCTTGAACTTAGCCCTCCAAAGCTGCATGACTTCTGTTGTTTGAAGCGACTTGGTTTATGGTAATTGGTTGCGTCAGCCTTAGAAAACAAACACCAAGTATATTGCCAAATTCTCTTTGCAGGAAAAATCTGGCATCTACTAAAGATGGATGAGAAAGGCTGTTTCACTCCTAGGCCACACCGCCATGCATTCACACTTTCTGCCAACCCAGTGCTTAGCAAATGGGATTTCAGTGTAGTTTTAGTTGGTGATTTTTAAGTGAGGTTGAGCATATATCCAAGTGTTTAATCACTATCTCTGTATTTGTTTGTGTTCATGTCTTTCTGATCATTTTTGTGTAAAATTTTTAATTTTTTTCATTAAATTGTGAAGTAATTATCATGTATGGTAGTGTTGGTATTATTTTTCTCAACATTTTGACAAAACACCCAACTGAAGCTAAGGAAGGAAGATTTATTTTGGCTCATGGTTTCTATGCATCACCACAAGGGAAGACACAGTAGAGTTCCTGGTGCTAGAAGCATGTTCTAGACACTCCTCACATCTTGGTGGATCAAGCAATAGAGAAAAAAACTAGAAATGGGGCCCAGCTATAGTCTTTAAAGGTCCCTACTTAAGTATCCTAAATCCCTGAACTAGGTTCCATGTTCCTAGGGGACCATAATCTCTCTCAACAGCACCACCAACTGTGTATCATGTGTTTAAACATATGAGTCTATGGGGTCATTTTACACCCAACCATGCTCTTGCCGTAGCTTACGTCCATCTGATAATGCAATATTCATTCCAATAGTCCCCAAAATCTTAGCAGTTCCAACCCTGTTTAAAGTCTCTTCTGGGACACAAATCAAACTCTTTTTTTTTTTTTTGGTTTTTCGAGACAGGGTTTCTCTGTGTAGCTTTGCGCCTTTCCTGGAACTCACTTGGTAGCCCAGGCTGGCCTCGAACTCACAGAGATCCGCCTGGCTCTGCCTCCCGAGTGCTGGGATTAAAGGCGTGCGCCACCACCGCCCGGCCAAATCAAACTCTTAGCAGCAAGCCCCTGTGAAGTCAATTCATGACTTACATCCTTATTCTGTCAACACAGTCTCCGTTCCAAACGAGAGAACAGGAGGACAACAAGGAAAGATTGTGCCACAGTGAGGATCCAAAACCAGCTGTGACAAGTGGTGACATTGTGTAGGCTCCAATGGGCTTGGTTAGTCCCATTCCTGTGTCTCTGCTGCCCGTGGCACACGTGACCTCCCTTGTCACTTAGTCTTTATCTAAGCACATCTCCCCGTACACGGAATTCAGTTCTGTTACATGTTGCCTGGTCTCACTGGTTTTCCTCTAGAACTCTGATGCAGGTCTCCATGACCTCAAAACCCTTGAGATCTTTGTGCTTGCAGACAGTACCTGTTATATGACATCAAGATGACATCATCTTGAGATTAGCTCATCATGGCCCACTTGTACCATGGACACCTGTGTGGCTGAGCCTGGGAAAATACCCACCTAGGTTGCTGTTTGAACTGTGTGCCCTGGAGGCTCAATCTTAAGCACTTACTTGGAAAGGAGGGTGTTTATAATGACTTTGCATTTTTACACCCTGGGTCCTCAGCTGGAGGGCAGGACCCTCTCAGGGCACATTTCTTAGTGTGCCAGAGCAGTGTGCACAGCTGCCTTTCAATTGTGCCCATCACTTTAACAGTGTATCTGTACTCACCTTGTCTGTAGCATTAAACTCATCCTCCCAAACTGCGTATTTTTTCACAACTTTCTGCTCCACTTTTCACTCTAGAGTATCATTATAAAAGGGGCCAGGAGCATAGCATGGTCTGCATGTTACACTGTCTTGAAATTCCACCAGCCAAACAAATCTGCATATTATTTTAAGATCCTGTCTCAAAATTTCTGGACATGGGCAGAAAAGAGCCAGATTCTTTGTTAAAATGAACCATGAATGGCCTCAAATCCCAGTAGGGCTCCTCCTCCCATCTGGAGGCCATGAACACGGTTTCTGCTGTCCAGATGGTATCAGCAGAAACTGATACCATTCTGAGATCCTTCCTCACTGGCTCCTTACACTGTCCTTACAGCGCTCTGGGCTCCAGTAGCCCACAGCGTCAGACCCCTCCACCTTTCTCCCACAAACCTGTTCCTAAGGCTGCACTACATGGTCAGATTCACCATAGCAATGACCTCACTTCTTGGCGCCATTTTCTGCACTACTTGCTTTCTTCCATCACAGTGACAAAATATGGGACAGAGCAATGTACAGAAGACAACATTTATTCTGTCTCCAGGATCCTATCCGCCACAGTGAGGAAAGCACCGTAGTGCTTACAGCAGTGACGAGCTCCTGGCACAGGCTCCCCACATCTTAGAAAACCAGGACACAGAAGACAGGAATAGAAATAAGGCCAGGCTAAACCTTTAAAGGCATGCCTCTCACAGTCTACACCCGTGAACTTGACCCTATAATCCAACAGGTCTCATAACCTCCCCCACAGCATCACCAGCTAGGGATCGTGTTGGAACAAATGAATGCACGGGGACATTTTCCTTTTCATACAGTGGAGCTTCATTTCTTTGTTCATTTAGATCTTTGGTCCTTTTTATTTCTGTGTATGATATCTCACATGTTGAATGGCTCGAATTCTGTCTCTCCCACTCCCAATTCAAATGGCCACCTAGTTGTCCCAACGTCATTTATTTAAAAGTCATTCATTTAAAAAATATTTATTTATTTACTTTATCTATCTATCTATCTATCTATCTATCTATCTATCTATCTATCTACTATGTATGTATGTATGTATGTATCTATTTATCTATCTATCTATCTATCTATCTATCTATCTATCTATCTATCTATTTATCTATCTATATGAGTACTCTATCTGCATGTACAGCTGCTTGCCAGAAGAGGGCATTGGTTCCCATTACAGATGGTTGTGAGCCATCACGTGGTTGCTGGGAATTGAACTCAGGTCCTCTGGAAGAGCAACTAGTGCTCTTAACCACTGAGCCCTCTCTCCAGCCCCTAAAGGTCAATTCTTTATCAAATATTATTGTCATTTGTGCTTGGGTCATTTCCAGACTTTCTTTTTTATCCTTTATCAATCGTCTTTAATTATGCTTTATTTTAATTGCAGTAAATCACTGAGCTAGCTATTATTATCCAAATTAAAAAGAAATTGTAAATTATCTTACAAAGTAGCGGGTTTCCTTAGTTTGTTCATTTGCATCCATACTTTGTTTTGGTTGACTGTTCCTAACTCATTTTTGGAGCTCTTATCCATCAGTCTGCCTATGTGTTCATGTGCCAGTACCAGCGTTAGAACTAAGGAGTCTGTGTTCCTCGCTTTCCGTCTGTCACAATAGCCTCTCCCCTTCTTCCTGAGCCCACAGCTACTTCTTGTCCTGGAATCCTTGGACATTTTATAAGTGGATTTTGATGTCATATTCTCTATCGACGAGAAAAAAAAGTTGGTATCTTTACTGGAATCCCAATAAATTAATTCATTACATTAGAGAAAATAGTATGTGGATTATTTTGAACAATCTCATTCAGGAAAGAATAACTTTCCACATCTAATTTGTTTATATCTGATTTTGCATTTTTTCTTTTTTTGTTTTTGTTTTCGAGACAGGGTTTCTCTGTGTAGTTTTGGTGCCTGTCCTGAATCTCACTCTGTAGACCAGGCTGGCCTCGAACTCACAGAGATCTGCCTGGCTCTGCCTTGCCTCCAGAAGTGCTGGGATTAAAGGTGTGTGCCACCGCCACCCGGCCTAATTTTGCATTTTTTAGGAGTGTTTTCTTTTATTCAGCGTAGGTTTGGGGCACTGGTACATTCATTCCCATGTGTTGTATCTTTCAGGCTGCTGTTGGCTTTGCTGTTTGTATTTTTGGCTGGTGGTTATTTGTGCATATCAAAATGTCATTTTTATGTAACCTGACATCTTGCTGAACTCATTTACTGATTTGTGTGATTATTGGTTTTCAAGTGTATTTTTGATATAGACTTTGATATCCTTTTGTCTATTTAGCGATGCAGGCATATGACCACATCATGAAGATGCAGATAGTTTTATTCTGTCTGCCCCTCCCATTCTACTTTCTTTTCTGTAATTAATTGCATCATCTGATAAATAATCCCAGTACAATGTGAAATGACAACGGATATAATGAGTATTTTTGTCTCAATTTTTGCATTAGTAAGACTCAGTTTAATGTTTTTTCATGTAAGAAAAATTCTCACTTTTAAGAATCAGATGTATATGTGTGTCTACATGTGCATTCAAGAGGCATAGTTAAGAAAGTATCTTTCAACTATTATTTTTCAGGGTGTATAGTTCCATCATCGGTCTGCATCCATCTAGTCACCTATCCATCCTTCTAACTATATTCTAAGCCTCCACCTATTGTCTATCGTCCCTCTGTCTGTCTGTCTTGTCTGTGTCTAATTATCATCTAGTGCTCTGTCTCACTTATTTGGCTTGAACCAGACAGGAAAGTGAAGCCGGTTCATTTGGTAGTGTTTCTCTGGCGCCCTCTACTGACAAAGTCTCCGACCATGCCCAATGTGTGAAGGAGAAACATTAAAAAGACAGTTGTGTAGCTTGATCTGCTTGGGAGGCCCCCTGGCAGTAGGATCAGAGTCCATCTGGTGCATGAGTGGGCTTTTTGGAACCCACTACTTATGATGAGACACCTCTTGCAGCCTTGAGGCAGGGGGAAGGGCTTGGACTTGCCTCTACTGAATGTGCCTCCCTATGGGAGACCTTGCCTTCTTGTGGGTGGGAGTGGGGGGTGCGTTGGGAGGGGGTGGCTGGGGGGGTGGGAGTAGGGAAGAGGGGGATCTTTGATTGGTGTGTAAAATGAATGAAAAATTTTTCTTAACTAAAAAAAATAAAAATAAAAAGATCCAGTCTTAGATTTGCAGAGCAATGGTGATGGAAAGACTTAGAGCTGATGAGTAATAAATTGATAACTTGCATGCCTAATTGTGTAACTATTGTACATGACCACCATATAACCATCAAACCTGGACAAATTGTGTAACTATTGTACACGACCACCATATACCCATCAAACCTGGACAAATTGTGTAACTATTGTACACGACCACCATATAACCATCAAACCCGGACAAATTGTGTTAACTATTGTACACGACCACCATATAGCCATCAAACCCGGACAAATTGTGTTAACTATTGTACACGACCACCATATACCCATCAAACCCGGACAAATTGTGTAACTATTGTACACGACCACCATATACCCATCAAACCCGGACAAATTGTGTAACTATTGTACACGACCACCATATACCCATCAAACTCGGACAAATTGTGTTAACTATTGTACACGACCACCATATACCCATCAAACCCGGACAAACTGTGTAACTATTGTACACGACCACCATATACCCATCAAACCCGGACAAATTGTGTAACTATTGTACACGACCACCTTATACCCATCAAACCCGGACAAATTGTGTAACTATTGTACATGACCACCATATACCCATCAAACCCGGACAAATTGTGTTAACTATTGTACACGACCACCATATACCCATCAAACCCGGACAAATTGTGTTAACTATTGTACACGACCACCATATACCCATCAAACCCGGACAAATTGTGTTAACTATTGTACACGACCACTATATACCCATCAAACCCGGACAAATTGTGTTAACTATTGTACACGACCACCATATACCCATCAAACCCGGACAAATTGTGTAACTATTGTACACGACCACCATATACCCATCAAACCCGGACAAATTGTGTAACTATTGTACACGACCACCATATAACCATCAAACCCGGACAAATTGTGTAACTATTGTACACGACCACCTTATAACCATCAAACCCGGACAAATTGTGTTAACTATTGTACACGACCACCATATACCCATCAAACCCGGACAAATTGTGTTAACTATTGTACACGACTACCATATAACCATTAAACCCGGACAATTCATAGGGAGACTGTATTGTGTTGGTAATATCCACTCATTCAAATCTCGGTTGCCCCACCTTTTCTGGTTTAGAGTCCACTCCAGGGCTCCCAGTGCAACTGGTTTTCATGGCCCTTTGCTGTCCTCCCGACCAGACAATACGAGCTTGTTCCTTTTCTCTCCAGGCCTGTTGGAAGGATTCTGCCTAGATATTTTGTAAGTTTTTCATTTTAGGCTTGTCTGAAATTCCTTCCTGTTAAGTTCAGGGTGTGCGGTGTGGGTCGGAATCATACAGAAAGAGAGTGTGCTTCTCCGTTCAGCATATTGAGTATCTGACATGACTACGGATGAGAAATCCAGCCCCAGCTTTACCTTTGTCCTCTGTGTGTAGAGTGTCTATTTTTTTCAGCTGATTTGAAGAGCTTTCTCTTTATACTTGATCATGTTGTTCCTACCCAAGGTCCTTCGTGTTTCTCTTGTGGACCTGTGCTTTCATCAAGTTTTGACAAAAAAGAAACAAAAGCAAACAAAAGCAGACGCCAGCCATCTCTCATCAGCTTTTCTCATTGCCATGCCTGAACGCCTGACAGAAACGGCTCAAAAGACGGAGAGAGGTTCATTTTACTCTGAAGGCAGACATTTCCAAAGCACGATCGTTGAACCCCCTCGTAGGGGAGCTATAGTGATGTTGACCTCTATGATGGTAGAAACATGTGAAGGAGGGGGACTGCTTAGTTTACGATGGGCAGGAAACAGAAATGGAATAGAGGAAGTGGCCAAGGCAAGGTGTGGCACCCAATGACACACCTCCAGTGACCTGTTTCCACCAACTTGGCCCCACAGTCTACCTATCCTCACTTCCCAATAATGCTAGCTTATTTTTCCAAGTATTTTTCTTCTGCTATACCCACCTTCTTCAGGGGCTCAGATTTCAGGTGATAATGCCATGTGGAAGCCTGAATTACAGGGAGTTTTATTTGTACAGTATTGATTTTATAGTATCCCAGGAAGATAAGTAAGAACAGACTATTCAATCAGCCACCGTTGTCCCAGGCCCAATCCAACCTCCTCCCAGTCTTTTAAAATAATAAGTGACTCAGTAGAGAAATTAACTTTCCTATTTTTATCCCTCTGTGGTGGTTTGAAAGGAAATGACTCCCAAAGGGAGTGGCACTGTTAGGAGGTGTGGCTTTGTTGGAGTAAATATGGCCTTGTTGGAGGAAGTGTGCCATTGTGGAGGTGGGCTTTGAGGTCTCATATATGCTCAAGATACCACCCTGTGTCACAGACCACTTCCTGTCTGCCTGTATGATGCAGAATTCTCAGCTACCTCTCCAGTACCATATCTGCCTGCATGCCACCATACTCCCAGCCACCATGCTCCCTGGGCATAATGATAATGGACTAAATCTCTGAAACTGTAAGCTGCCACCTCAATTAAATGTTTTTTTAAAATAAGAGTTGCTGTGGTCATGCAATAGAAACCCTAACTAAGACACCCTCCCTCACCCTCTGTGAAACCCAGTTGACTTTGTTTATGTAGCTCGGTGTAGCAGCCTTCTCTTCAGTGGTCCTGGGTTTTACATAGACTTCCTCTTTTTGAAGTTGTTTTAAAAACATATATTGGCTCCTTACTTCATGATGATTTCATTTTTTTTGTTCTTAAATCTTTGATTCATCTGGAATTGGCTCAAGGATGAGAAGAATTACACGTTTCCTTTAGTACCTAGTGATTCCCAAACATTACATGGCTTCATAGAATTTTTCCAACCAATTAATTTCAGAGGGCACTTTTGGTTTATGCTAAATATCCATTAAAGAATGCATATGCTGAAACTATATTACACATGCAACACACATATAGTGTATTTAAGGGTAAGTGGACTTAAGAGAAAGGAAATTTATGAACTTGGTTTGATTATTCTCTGACTTACAAAATTGAAAACAAAACCAAAATCACAGCCACGGCAGGACAGAAACAGTGTTCTGCGTGTGCATGGTTGACATGGGAGCTCTCTGGGTAGAGGTAGGGAAACTGCTTCAGCATGGCTGACCCAAACCCTGGGATTCCACATCAGTGTGCGTGTATTGATTCCGAGGTAAGAACAGAGAACGAAGTGTTAGAATTGATCCCTCACATCTGCTACTTTCTCCTTTGGTAACTCTGTGCCACTCACCCATGACAGACTTCGTCTGTCAGTCCTTCGTTGCCAGCCCCTCTTCCCCCCAACCTTATAAAGAAAACCACATTGTTCTAGTTTCAGCTTAGGACCACTCTGTGACCTGGCTGGGTTTCTGTCTCAGGCTAGTCTCCCTCTGAAGCCACACATCTCCCTGTACACACTGCACTCTGGACCTGTGACTGATCCAAGATGCTCTGTGCTTCTGTTCCTGTCAGAAAAAGAGGTGGTATTGTTGACCGGAGTCAGCCCTCTTGAGGTGCATGTTATGGACGTGGTAGCATTTAGCACTATATTCTGCGGACTGAATGTCTCACAGATTCATTTTGAAACCTAGAGTTAAAAGTCTATCAGGGCTCCGGGGAGGTGATGAGATCATAAGGGTGGAACCTCCATTAACGGGATTAGTGCCCCTCTGAAAGACCCTAGAGAGTTCTCTCTGCTCTTCCCTCCATGGAGGACAGTGAGAAGGCACCACCTGTGTATAAATCGAGAAGGAAGCCCTCATCAGAATGCAATGACCCAGGTACTCCACAGAGTTTGCAAAAACATCCTTTAATAACTCATCTTTCTCAGGGGTCCCTTCTCAACTGTCATTCATTACAAAGCATCTAAAAGTAAGGATACTTGGTTGGGTTGGGGAGAACCTGGAGAAGACTGGGGAAAGGCTTTTATGCCCTCCCAAAGTCAGGTGGCACCATGGCGGCTCAGGGCATGAGCTTAGGCTGGATTCATGATTTTAGCAAACAATAGGCTGCTCCACGTGAAGTCGTCAAAAATTAGGAGAGTGAAGGGCCTGTTGAAGGTGATGGTGAGTGGTTCAGGTATCGGGGGAGCCTCTCTGGTGACAACATGCCGTGCACCTGTCTCATCCAGTTGCAGCATGGCCTTGTGGACCACCTGTGAGAAACACGTCAGAGGCGGGAAATGAGTCCTTGTCATGAGGAAGGAACTGTCCACGTCTCATCACGTGGACACTGCATCCATGGAAGGTGAAGCAGCCAGGATGCCCCAAACTGCCTCCCTGTTGGACTAGCAGGCTGCACACACCACACCGAAGTTAAAGGAACCAGGTCTCATGGTCTATCCTGGGCTCGACTTACCAGACCCTAGGCTTCAAAACACCTCACGCTGCCCACCTAGCTACGGAAACAGCAGAGCTGAACTTCTACAAAGTGCTTTTGCCTCCTCTGCCTAGGAAAGTCCAGGCTGAAGTTGAAAGGCAAGCCCTTTGCTGTTGCTGTGCTCCTTTTAATGATTAAAATTAGATGGAATTCTGAAGACAGCTAAATGGCTGACAGATCCCATCCCAGCAACTAAATAATAGGTGACAATCACTGTATACCCAGCATGCCTTGGTGGTGGTGGGGTCTCATCAACTCCACTTCTCAGCAAGTCTGAAGGTCCCTGAGTGTTCCTGCTATAGGCTCCAGGCAGAGGCTGAGCTGGGACTGGGACCTCTGTGGTGAGTCTCGAGGATTTGAGATCTTGACCCAGAGTCCAACATGCAACTGTTTTTGTTGCTGTTTGGTTTTCCTAGCTCCATGACCATGTCAAGCTCTCTGCCTTTCCTGGGTTAAGGATTGCCCTGAGCAGTTGGGATAATGTCTCCCTTCTCTATATAAACTTGAAGCTTCAGTCAGTGGTCAGTGTGCTTTGGGGCCTTAGAATATTCTATCCTTTGGTATTTCTAGTACAGCCATACTGGGGGAAAAATCCCTTTCCTGTTTTTCGAAAAGGAAAAAAAGGGGTAAAAGGAGGCTTCTGTGTGGCTTAGCTTCCTCACTGGCTTTACTCATCCACACAGCCCATTTATTGAACTCAGATTTCACTAAGTAAGGATTCCACGCACCACCCAGGGCCCTGTGTTTTGAGGACAGTGTCCACATCTGAGTAATGGAAACATATCTGGATCCCAGCACAGGCTTGGGCACATAGTAGGTGTTCAATCAAAATGTTTGGAATGAATTTATGAATTGAAAACATCAAGCTGAAGGCTGAGGCATGCAACTGAGTAGAAGGCTCAGTGTGTTGCTGAGGAGGATCATTACTGTGTCCTCTATGTCTTTTTGCCTGGGGCTGCTCTCATTTCTGCCACGACAACTTTGTTTTCCAGTGTCCCCTCTCTCGTGAGGCTTCATGGGTTGGGTAGCTGCCGGGGCTGTGACTCTCCCTTGTCATGAGCTTTCTGTGTGGTTGTTTTCTTGCTGAGCCTCTGTTTACTGAACTGTGGTTGACGGGGCTTGGTCCTGGGGTTTTCAGCTTGGGATCTGCAGGACCATTCACAAATGGGCTTGTGTTGCTTACTGTTAAGATTTTTTAGTGTAAATTTTGGAGAAAAAGCTCCCAAGATACTTACCTTTAACGGCTTTAGTGGAGAATCCTCGGTGATGTTTGAGAAAGCTGATTGACTGGTGAACAAATCTGTAATGCCCATGCCTGCCAGTGCATCTTCAAGGTCATAGGTACCAGACATGGAGACCTTGGGGATGTACAGGTTCACCCATCTGCTCAAGGTGAAGCAGAAGAAGTTAGAGGGTCCAAGGCTAGGCCTTGTGGTAGAGAGCAGCATATCCTTTCCTAGACAGATCTCTTCAGTACTTGTAGCAACAGGCTGACTCACTCACTAGGGATGACAGGAAGGGCAAAAAGCAGGAATGATCTCTTCCTCATATGTAAGCTTCTTCTCTGGGTCTTTGAATTACCTAAATTCATCTTTTTTTTTCTGGATGATTCCTTTGAGCTGATTATGTCTGTGATATAGCTGGACTATTGATCAGTCTTTATGGTCTCTGAAGAAGGGAGAATAAGAGTGTGGAGAGAACTCCTGGCCAGAAGCAGTAGTTAGTCCTGGCCAACCTACACAAATGATTCTATGCCCCAACAGCCAAGTCCTGTCCCCTCTGCTAATATCCTTATCACAGCTGGTTCAGCCTATGTGCTGTTAAGGCCTCTCATGGTTAATCTTTATTTTCAAATGACTAGACTTTAATTTCAAAATGACATTTTCAAGTGTCACCTAGGAGACACACTTTCAAACATATCTATGAAAGCATTTCCAGAGAGGTTTAACAGAGGAGGGAGGACCCATCCTAAACAGCCTGAGTTCTGCTATGAGATGGAGAAAAGGGAAATCAGAGGGAGAAGTTTCTGCTTATTTTCATGTCTTGCTGGCACTTTCATCTGACCTTTCACCTGCTCTGTTGCTGCCACCACAGCTGCTTCTGTCATCTTAAGCTGCCATCAGAATCCAGATTTTCAGACTTCTACTATGGAATGAAGACCAACTACTCTACAGGAGTTCCGTAGGTCTTCAGCATCAGATTTGGACTGATGAGCCATCCAGCCTAATGGATTGAGAAGCTCCTGGTTTTTTTTTCTCAACCAGGGCAAGACTTCCATTGTTGGACTACCTAGACTATAGTGGTGTATAAACCAACCTAATAAATCTTCTTTAATATATAAAAATGCAAGGGAAAAAAGTAGCTGAGAGGCCTGATGAGCACAAGCATTTGCTCTTACTGTTTCTTGTCTATGGATGCACTATGACCAGCCATCTCACTTTCCTACCATCATACCTTTCCATCGCAATGGACTGAATGTATCCTCTCTTAACCCAGAACCCAAAATAAAAACTGCCTCCCGTTAAATTGCTTCTGTTGAGTATCTGTCACAGCAAACAGAAAACTAGTACAGAAAATTGGTACCAGAAGTGGGGTGGTTCCTATGACTACCTGGTTTGTAGACCTTTGGAAATGGTTTTGATGAGGAATTTAGAAGAGCTTGAGCCTGTGGTCTAGATAAACCCTAGAGTTTGATAGTAAAAGCTGGTAAGAGTGTGCAAGCCAGATTGCTAATAGAAATGCAGGCAGTGAAGTACTGGATCACAAGGTTTCATCTTGAAAGGAAGACTCTATTGACAACAATCAGACTACAGGCCATCCAGGTTACATTATGTGGAAAGTGTGGCTGTGTTCTGTCCATATCCTAAAAGCTTGGATGAGGATGAACTCAGAAGTAGTGGACTAAGTTGTTTTGCAGGGGAAATTTCAAGAAAACATCATCCAAGTTGTGGTACTGTTATTACTGACTGAATTTACCCAGATTTACAGGGAGAGGTATCAGAAAATTAGAGCAGAAAGGTGTGGAAAATGTGTAGTTTGGTGAGGAAAGGAACTTAATGCTGGTTGAAGTTGAGGACAGGATGGGCTTAGATAAACTGACCATATTATTATTAGAGAGATTAACATTGTTAGTGAAAACCAGAGACTTTGCACTGGGACAGTAAGAAAAGAGCCTTGAGTGCAAGTTCCTACTTACTCTTCAAGAGTGCAAAAGACCCATTTGAAAGGCTAGCATCTGAAATGATGGAGCCTTCAAGGTACCTGTAAGAAAATTGTTACCTAGGAAAGGATCTTCTGAGTCTCAGACACAAAGGCATACAGAGGCTACTGCATTTGTGATCCGAGGAGTGACATCTCAAGCTAGCAGTCGAACTTGGCATCACCCACATTGGGAAATTTTGGTAGGCATTAAAGATGCAATAATGAGGAGTCATAGAAGCTGGCACCAAGTTTCCAGGAAATCTTTGAGGCCAAGCAACGTATAGTATAAGTTTCCTATGCAGAGTTCCTGAGCAGGCTATGTGAAGGTGAAGCCTCAGTGGCAGTGGAGATTCCAGGATGTTGAATGTGACAGGTCCTTTGGGTGACTGTCAAGGATAATTGCAGATGTGGAGTGGAATCAGCCCAGGAGAGAGACTACATCATCCACAGGCAGCAAAAGGGAAGCAGAAGCTGTTGGGGCCTGAATGAGGCCACCAAGATGCCCAGACATGAAACTGCAGGATGTTGCTTTTGTCCTTTTGGATTTTAGTCTTGCTTTGGTCTCTCTCCCCTCTCCCAATCGACCCTTCTATAATTGGAAATTTTATTCTGTGATGTTGTATATTGGAAGTATGGAAACTGGTTTCTTATTTTACAGGGACTTACAGTCAAGATATTGCCTTGAGTCTCAAAAGAAGCTTTTGACTTTTGAACAGTGTCAATATTGTTAAGCCTACTTAATTTTTAAAGAAGTAAATTCATTTTGCATTATGAGATGGCCATGCACCTATGGGGGCCAGGAGTGGGATGTGATAGTTTAAAAATGATGTTTTTTTGAGTATTAAGTTGTCAAGGGGTGGACTTGTGATGATTAATCTTCACTATTGATTGGATTTTAGAACCAGGTAGCAGATACACTTTTGGGTGTGTTTGTGATGGTGTTTCCAGAGAGGTTAATTGCAGAGGGAGGACCCATCCTATATGTGGGTTGGGTGTCCTGACTATGCGAAGGGGGCAAAAGGGAGCCAGTGTTCTGCTTCACCATAGATGGGCCCAGAAGCAACAGAGCCAAGTTACTATGGACTGCAGTCTTTGAAACTGTAGAGAAAAAGACATCTTTCTGTCTCTTTCAATGTTTCTCTCAGGTATTCACGACAGCAATGAAGAATGAAGTAACACAAACAAAAACTAACATATCTCATTCCTGGTACCAGGAATCGCTTTCTGTGAATACCAGACAATGTGGTTCAGAAGTCTTGAGAACTGGCTTGAGGAATTGGAAATGCTTGGAGGTCCAGCTAGAGAAGCTCTAGAATTCTGTAAAAAGGAGCCTACTGTGTAATTGGGGAGGGGGCTCAGAAGAGCAAAATGCTGATGGTCCCATGTAAGTAAAGACTGCTTAGGAAGTTTCAAGTGGGAATGAGAGCTGGGTAGGGAATTGAGCAAGAGGAAGATCATGTTACATTCTGACAATCAAGTTATCTGCACTTTGTCCATGCCTTGAGACTTGCATGGGGCCTGGATTTAAATGTGATGAATAAATTCACAAAGCATAGGAGATTTCAAGGCATCCCAGTATCATGCCATGGGTTCTGTTGGCTGCTTTGATCAGATTTACAGTGAGAATTGAGAACAAAAATGCAGAGTGGAAGGATTTAAAAAAAAAAAAGGACAATCTGGTCAGAAGAACACGTTAAAAGTTGTGAACAAGGAAGGGAAGGTATGGTTGCTCAAGACATTTGCATGATACCCAAGAAATGAGCCTGAGCCTTGTGGTAATCTTTAATTTCAGCTACTGCAGACCCCACAGCAGGAGACTGAAGCGCCAAAGCCTGCTTGGCATACAAAATGAGTTCAAGGCCAGTCTGAGTAAACCCACCTTTAAAAGGTGGAAAAACGGCCCAGCGGTGAGTTTAGCATGCAGAGACCTCAGGTTTAATTCCTAGTACTGAATTTAAAAAAGAGATATTTTAAATTGTAGCTATAGGAGCCACATCTGGAGGTGAGACCACACACACACCACAGGATTCATATGTGAAAGCATAAACTCACTTAGAAGATATTTGCTTAAGAAAATAATGCAGCTAGAGCAACAGGCTCACACAGGGCACCTGGGCAGCTGTTTCTCCATGATTCTTTTCACTATGGTCAGTTGCCCAGGATGCAACAGTCATTTGCACTGTACCTTACAGAGGCCCCAAGGACTAACAGATTCCCTTTATAGTGAACCAGCTAAGAAAAGAGAAAAGTGGGGGAGCTTGGTGCTTGGTGAGTTCCCTCTAAGGAATTGATATAAAAATATAATGTACAAAATGTCTATGACTATGAAATTCACAAGAAATGGGGATTGGACGTGTGGTATGCCCCAAACGACCTCTGTGATAGATGGATATATAAGTATACCGTCCAGCTGCAGAAGCTCACAGCCTATGGGGAGCAGTAAGGCCTTGTGGGGTCTATCTTGGAGAGGAAGAAGTCTCCCTGCCTTGTTTTCCAGAAACGTACACCTTATAGAAACCCACAAGGTGACTGGAGGCTTTACCTTTTGGTCAGAAGCTTGTCCCACCTCTCAATTGTGTCCCTGTTAAGTTTGGCGATGACGGTGTCCATCTGGCCCTGGTCTGGAAGGATGAAGAAGGTAGTTCCATTTCCCAAGTATCTCATCTTTAACACTTGGCAGGGGATCTTTGAGTCGTGAAGATAATCCATATTGCCTGATTGGAACATCATGGGCACCCTGACGGTGCTGGTCTCGTTCACGTGGAAGTCCTCATCCTTGGTATTTTCTGGATTTAAGGGAAGCTCCCACATGCCTGGAAAGATGCAAGGCGGGGGGGGGGGGGAGGAGATGGGAGGGGTTATCAATCATTAGGTTTGTAGACTGGGAATTAAAACCAAGCTTGGACACCCTCTTGTGAAGCAGCGGAACACCCACTGATCCTGCAGAAACAAGGTAAGGTATGCAGCCATCTGCTGCAGGCCAGGAATACCCTGCTTGAGCTGCCCAATTCCCAGAAAGATGCAATAATCCTCAGGAGCTTAAAGCCTATTCTGCATGCAACAGAGTGGTGCAGCAGCAGTGTGCTGGGCTATGCAGCCTGCAGCAGCATGCTGGGCGATGCAGCCTGCCCTGTCCCCTGCTCTCTGGTGGTTGAGGATTAGCTCTGCTTGAGATTAGCCTCCAAACACAGGCAAGGGGAGAGAAAAGGACCATGGGTCTTGGATTGCAGATAGGTCCCACTTAAATTAGACTTCTAACTGGGCCTCTGGGCCTGAGGTAGGTCTCAGTGCTGAGAATTTTGGTGGTCCTAGAACTCAAACCTTGAATTCATGGTCTCTGGTGGGAAGAGGGAGAAGCTCACTTTGGAGAAATGAACCATCTCAAAAGTCTGGCCAGTTCCTGGAGGAGGCTGGTGCCTCTGCCACTTAGAATGAGGGCATTCCAGACAATGATATATATATATCATTGTCTTCCTGTGTATAGAGTCAGGATACAGGATGTTTTCAGGCTCACAGTTCCCCTTCCCCTCAGCTGGTGGAGTCACTGTCTAGCCTGTTTGCTTGCTGTGGTACTGGTCAGTTCTGACAGAAAGAATGTCATTCCTTAGACTGAGTCAAAGCTTGGCTGCTTGCAACACCTGCCCCTTAGCCTCTTCTGTCCTTCAGAAGCCAGCCCCAAGCAGTGTGGCCCGGTCTAATCTCCTGACCTCCACAGTTAGCAGATAACAAATGTATACAGCCACTGTCCACAGTAACTTGTTACAGTATTATCAGGAGGCTCATACAGGCTTCTGTGGAGGCAAGCATGCTCAAGGACAGGAGAGGAATTTGGTATAGTCAGTCGAGTGTGTGTGTGTGTGTGTGTGTGTGTGTGTGTGTGTTGTATGTATGCTGTGTGTGTGTTTGTGTGCTGTGTGTATGTGTTGTATGTGTGCTGTGTGTTTGCACGTGCACTGTATGTTGAGATCTTAGAAAAGGGAAAGTACTGAGACACAAGGCTAGAGAAGACAGAAAAAGTAGAGGGTTCTAGACCAAGGCTTTCACTCTCGACACTCTAGATATTTAGGGATGGTGACACCATGAGGGGGCTTGTATGTGTTTGTGTATATGTTTATGTATTTGTATGTGTTCTCTGTCTATGTTTGTGTGTGTGTGTGTGTGTTTGTGTGTATGCGTATTTGTGTGTGTGTGTGTGTGTGTGTGTGTGCATTGTGAACAGCATTGTGAGTTGCATGTCCAGTAGCCTTCCTGGCCTCTACTTACTGGATCCCAGTCCCTCATCCTATCTTACCCCTAGTTGTGACATAAAAAAGAAAAAAAAGTGCTCCTCAAAGTTGCCTAATGTACCTGGGAAGGTGAGAGCCTCAGCTTCTGCTTAGAATCAGTGTTATAGAGGAAGGTCAGATTTGATTCTTAGGAGCAAGGTGTCTCCTAACCAACTGATCATAAAAATCTTGTTCAGTTGGTGGAGGGGCACACAAGACACATTCTGGGCTCTCCTGTGGAGGTATTATTTCAGCAAGGCAGCCATGAGTTCTGGAATCTATAATTCTAACAAATCTTTCAGGAAGTGTTCAAGAACAGCACTGTGGGTATCCTAGTTCCAATCTGGTAGACACTGGCATTTGTCAGGGATAGGACATGGTCAGAACTGGCTGTGAACTCTAGGCCATTTTGTGTGGGGTGGCTTTGTGGGCACTAGGGAGATCTGTGGTGGAGTGGGATCTCATTAGGATGGGAGGGAGGGGAGAGCAGTACCTTTGAGGAAGATGTAGTTGACCAGGATGAGGGCGGCTGGACTCTCCTGGTCTGAGAACACATGTGTGATTTTCCCCTGTGTCTTACTCTCAACATGCTTGTTGATCTGCTTGCTGGCTTCAGCCCAGTCATTGAAATTGGTGGTCAAGGCCTCTGACTTGTAATAGCGTGCAATGTCTGTTAAGAACAAGTCCTTTAGCTTCAGGTTCTTGTTGAGGAACATGGCATTGCCCATGCTCATCTCCAAGTTGCTGTCTGACTGGCTGAGAAGGTGACTGAGCTGCTCGAATTTCTGGTAGATCTCATCTTCAGGTATCTCTGTGAGGTTGAAGCCCACGTCTTGGAGAAGCTGTGTCTTTGTGGGGCCCATTGTGCCAAGGGACATCATGGCCAAGGCCGTTGTGACACTCACGGGGGAGATTAAGATATTTTTGTGAGGCTCCAAGGTCGATAGGTGATGGTACAGGTTGAAGGCAAAGTCAACATTGGTGGGGGCCAGGCCTCGGTGAGGGCTCAATGAAGACTCAGCGGTGCTGTCATTCAAGGTGTGGGCAGTCATGAGGACACTGGCAGATAGCCAGAGGAGACAGGTATGCAGAGCAAGTGGCATTGTTCTGGTTGAGTATACCCTGCCAAATCAAGAGTGCTTGTTAGAGGATATGGCAGTCCCAGAGTCGGTGGCACATGGTGCTGTTGGAGGCAGGCCAAGACCCCACTTTGCCCTCTATTTTTCCCTTCCCATTGGCTGTTGACCTTGGCAGTCACAGCAGAGCCCTGGCCTTTAGGGTCCATATTGGAAGATGTTTTTACTCAGTGCACTTGCTAAGTGCCTAACACTTTCTCAAGCATCTTGCCTATATTCTCCTGTAAGTTTCATCAAAAAACTCAAAGTAGACTTTGTTAACTCTACTGTAGGCAGCCAGAAACTCAGACGGACTTAGGACCCATGCAACTCATATATTTAACATGCAAGAAAAGCTAAACCAAATGTGGCCAAGCTCTCCTTCAAAACTGAGGGCTTGCTAAACCATGCTCAGTTTGTACAGTATGAAACCCTGCTAAGTGGGTTTCCTTTTGATTCCAGATCAGAATGAAAAGCCACTGGACATGCGGTGGTGGCGCACGCCTTTAAACCCAGTACTCGGGTGGCAGAGCCATGAGGATCTCTGTGAGTTTAAGGCCAACCTGGGCTACAGAGTGAGTTCCAGGAAAGGCACAAAGCTACACAGAGAAACCCTGTCTTGAAAAAACAAAAACAAAAACAAAAAAAAAAAAAAAGAAAGAAAGAAAAAAAGAAAAGCCACTGGACATCAGTTAGAAGCCGATGGAGAGATACAGATGCCTGCTAAAGGGCAGGATGCAGACAACTTGCTAAACCATGCTCAGGCTAGGTGTCATTGGAATTTTACTTTGCAAATCCACCTTTTATATTCTATGTGACCTTTAAATCCACCTTTTTATATTCTATGTGACTTTTAAAAGCGTGGAGGTTGACTTGTTGAGGGTTCTCTGTGTTAACCACTGTCTGCTGCAAAAAGAAGCCTCTTTGAGAACCGCCCTAACCCCTGGGTAGAAGACAGGAACCCCCGCCCCAGGCAGTTTGTTACCATGTTTCTTTTGCAGAGTAACTGCAGTAGGGTTTCCATTGACGGCTTCTGGAAGAGGGAGAATTAGTTCTCTTTAAGAATGAGAGACTAGCCATGCTTCCGTAGATCGCCCTACACCCATACACATACTAGCCACAGAAAGTGGACTCAGTATTAAAAACAACAAAACAAAACAAAACAAAAAAAACCCACCAGACAGTGGTGGCACACACCTTTAATCTGAGCACTTGGGAGGCAGAGGCAGGCAGATGCTTGTAAGTTCGAGGTCAACCTCGTTTACAAAGTGTGTTCCAGGACAGCCAGACTGTAACACAGAGAAACATTTGTCTCAAAAAACAAAACAAAACAACAAAACCTCCAAAACAAACGAACAAAACACATGATGTTGGGGAGGATGTGCTAGGAAGAGGGAAGGACTTGCAGGGGAGGAAGAGTGGATTTGATCAGACCACGTTTCAGACCACGTTTTCATGTGTAAAATTCTCAAATTTGCGGACAACAACAAAATTATAAGTTGAAGTCTTGGGGGCTCCCCAATCCAGAAAGATAACATCTATGACTAAAAGGGGGTAGGACAGAGGGGCAGAAGCTGAGTTTTCAGGGGCTCCCTAGTGCCTACATGACTGGGGCACACAGTTGCCCTCAGAAACATCAGGAAGAGGAAGGAGGCCCAGCCCACTGGACCCTCATGACTCAGTCCTCCAGTTTTAAATTGGAGTGCTGTCTGTCTGTCTGCAACACTGCTGGGTGTCACAGGTTTCCTCAGGACACACACTGGATTGTTACCCTGCTGCAGGCCAGGTCAGAGGTTAGGACAGGGCAGGGCATAGATGGCAGAGCAGGTCACTACAGTCCTCTAGTGTTTGCTGAGCTCCATCCTGGCCTGAGACTTGGAGATAAAGATGGCGATATCCTGCCCTACCCATATGGCTCCACTCTGTGGGCCCCTCCCATTCCTTGCCTGGCTCATTCCCTTTTGGCCTTTGAGACTCAGGTGCTTGGTCACTGCCTCCAGGAAGCTTTCCATCCTCCTTTTTCTCTGCCACTGTCCTCGTGTTCTGCACAGTGACATCTTGGTTTCTGCACTGGGCCATGACCTGTCTATGATCCCCTTTAGGGGAAGGACCCCAGTCAATAGTAGGCTGGGCCTCTTTCCTCTTCCTGCTGTTTCTTGGGGGCAACCGTGTGCCTCATTCTTCCTGTGTCAAACCTCTACGATGGAGATGAAAACCCCCACTGCCTCATGAGATTGTTGTGAATGCTTGGTGTGGCTATCATCAACGCATGACTTACACAAACTCACTTCACGGGTAATCCTGCAACTCATTGTAGAGTTGGGGAAACTGAGCTGGACAAAGCAGGGCATCCATAAAGGACTGGGCATGCATCTCCAGAGCCACCCTGCTCATCTCTACTGAAAACCACATGGCCAGCAAGGTGTCTCTTTCAGACCAGCCTATGAAAAGGCTTGAGGGTCACGTGTTTCTTTCTAGCAATACCCTCCTTGCCCCTCCTCTCTGAAGTGGCTTGGATTAGGCAGGGATTTAGGTAAGCATCACAGCTCATGGTGTGATGCAGAGAGTTAACACAGGTCTTTCTCCTATTGGCAGCATCCCCACCCCAGATCTCCAAGTGAGGGTTGATGGATGAGGGGTGTGTGGACACTCTTCAGAGTGCCCCTGCATGTACCAGCTGTGCACCCCAACCCTACCCCATAGTGGTGCCTGACACCCATCTCAGCTCTGAGATCCCCCCCCCCCCAATTCCTGGGTGCTAATGCTGCTCCATCAGGCCACTGGTAACAATGAAACATAGTCACAGCTCCCAGTGATGGCTTCCTGGCAAGGAAGGAGCCCAAGGGAAATCAAACCCCAGTGGTGACTCCCAGACTCCAGGATCTGGGAAGCCTTCCACAAGGTTGCCTCATGCCACAGCTGACTGCCATCATGTTCGCCTACTCAAAATCTCGAACAAGCAAGCTGCATGCATGGCTGTGTTCTGGAGTGCAGCAGATGCAGAGGTGGGGATCCTGGCAAGAGCAGGAGGCATGGAGGGCTCTCAGGGGTAACTTACGTCCGCAGTGGGTTCCGCTTGTTCTTGCTGGCTCTGCTCGGCTGTCTGGGATGCTAGTATATGTACAGTAAGGCTTCAGGGAGGCTGCCCACTAAACCTTGTTTGCTAGTTAATGGTTAGAGGAGGGAGACAGTGGCCTTCACCATTTGGTGGTCCCCACCCCCCAAACATCAACCAATGGGAGGCTTTATAGGTAGTGAGGGTAAACACAGTAATGCTGTAAATTAACTTTCCACTGCATTCTGCTCCCTGAAGTTTTACTTTTAATATGAAAATGTGGCTGGAGTTGCGTCAGTGTTTGTGGGTGCTCCGTGCCAGCTGGCAGAGGATCCACTGGTGTCATTAATAAGCACCACAGCATGGACTCTGTTAAGAGCCAGATACTTGGCACCAGGAGGGGAAGAATTAGCCAAGGGTGGGAACAACACGTGCATGAATGAATGCATGACCAGCCAAGGGCTTCCTGTGGGTTATCTCAAGCCTCCCAATGGGTCGTTGAAAAGACAACCACCGTCTTTATGAGACTGACTTGACTACGCTTCTTTTTTTTTTCTTTTAATTTGATGTTTCTGTAGCTGCCAGGGATTCAACCTGAGGCCTTATGCATGCTGGTCAAGGGCTCAACCACTGAGCTACATCCCCCGTCAGCATCTGTTCTTTACATAAGGAAACAGAGAGGTGCTGGAAATGAAGGGAGCTGCCTTGAGATCATTTCTTCCCCGAAGTCTAGCACCCGTCCTCCTACCCAGGTGTTCATTCCTCAGATCTCCTTTGTTGCAGGAGGCACGCATTGAAACATCATAAAGTGAAAGGGAATGTTAGGGTTTTGTTTTGTTTTTGTTTTTTCTTCATGAATGAGACTTCCAGTGAGCGAAAAGGGCTTCAGGGTGTCCAGTTAGTCACGAGACCTTTTTCTTCCTTCTCATCTCCTTCTGTGACTTCCACTCTATTCAGTTATGGTGGGGAGAAGGAGTCTTCTGATCCCCAGGTTATGTGGTTCTCACTGGCTGACAGTGAAGGAAAAAAAAAATAATTATTTTGCCTCAGTGTTTCTTTCAGTTCCTCAGAGGACCGTGGACAGGACTGTCCATCTGTGCCTGGACCGAGCACAGTCTCCAAGGGGATACGCCTCTGTGAACACCCACCCTGAGCCCCGAGCCCTGTGTTTGGTTGACAGCACCATTACTTCCACCCAAGGGTGAGGGAAGCTGATAAAGAGAGAAGGTCAGAGGTCATGCCTAGAAGTTTGGAGCATTCCAGTTTTGTTAATTCTTTTTCTTTTCGAGTTTTCTATTTCATAAGCCAATTTTGGACTTTATACCCAAGGATTTATCTCATCTAGATTTGTAGATTAAATGTTATTCACAGTTATCTGTGCAGCATTGATTGTTAGAAGGTCCTATTAAATAAAAAACAAACCCGGGAGCCAGGTATAGGAGTGAATTCTGGAAGATCAGAGAAGCAGAACAAGCCACAACCAACCTCACCTTGCCAATTCCTCAGCTCATCTTGTTTCCTCAAACTGAAAGCTTCTGAGTCCTTACCTGAATGAATCTCAGCTGAACTGCTGCTCAAAAGCCTAAAAGATTAAAAAGCCTCTAGTTTCTGGTCTTCACGACTTATATACCTTTCTGCTTCCTGCCATCACTTTCTGGGATTAAAGGCATGTGTCTTTCCCAAGCAAAGACACGAGATCTCAAGTGCTGGGATTAAAGGTGTGTGCCACCACACCTGGCTGTGTTCCTAGTGTGGCCTTGAACTCACAGAGATCCACAGAGTTCTTTGCCTCCCAAATGATAGGATTAAAGGCGTGTGTGCCACCACCATTTTCTGGCCTCTATGTCTATCTAGTGGCTGTTATGTTCTCTGACCCCAGATAAGTTTATTAGGGTGCACAATATATTGGGGAACACAATATCACCACATATCTGGATTCAGT